TAAACTAAACGAAGAAATAATGATGATTAAATCTATCACTCACTGTCTCTTTACTACTTCTTGTCATACAGATAGTGTGTGTTGCCCGAGCGAGATCAATGTTTCTATACTTCTATCTACTGGTCCCCAATTATGACTTGGAAGAGGTAGGAATTAGAGCCTTAAAACCTAAAAATCATCTTTTTATCTCCACGAAAATGCACTAAATTAAATGGCTATTAGATCTATTGCGTAAATGTTGGAAATGGCTGGAATAAGAAGCTTGAAACCTCGAACCGTCTTTTTATCCCCCCCCCCCCCAAATCTGGACTAAGTGGCCATTACTGTGTCGACGTTCTTCTCTCTACTCAAAGCTCCACAAGAAGGCCTCATTTAAAACTAGCTTCTTATGGACTAAATAATAACGTAGGAATAATGATATAATAATAAGAGGATTGTTTCTTGGTTACAGTGGCGCTATCTTAAAGTAAGACGACATAGCGGCTTCATCTATTTGACGAATAAACATCTCAGGGGCTGTGATATTTGCCATAACACATTATCGAAGGATAAAACATTTTTAGTTCTGTCAGTAGCACTGCCGTCTTGATTTGAACAGAAATTTCCCACCGCTTGACCTCGAGTCACATGAGAACCCCCCCCCCCCCCCAAAAAAAAAGCCTAAAATCCTGTGCCTACTTCGGACATTCCCGTCAAATCACTATAATTTGATATGCTTATTACATTTGAGGACGACCGGATATTCTTACAAGGCAGGGGAAGAGCTACAATTGCTACAACTTGTTCAGATCCCCCTGAATCAAGTAAATATGTTTGATTTTTTTTGGGTCATACTTTTGATGAAAAAGATGGGCAACAACAAACCAGAAGGCTCACTCACGTGGCATGTTTGGTGTTAGACCTTTAGACTTTAGACCCTTTCTGTGCACAAGGAAAGCGATATGTGCAAATGGACTTCCGGGTCAAATTTGCTGAACAAAGCAAAGTTTAATGTGATAGTGTGATACTTATTTATGTAGTATGCAATGGCAAACGTCATTTCCCGACCCAACCCGACCCGACCCGTCCTGTCCGAGCAGAGATAGAAATAGGGTCTGTTTCACCAAAGGGGATCCAGAAGAGGTCGCAACTGACTCGAGCCCCTAAAGCAACATGGGAGAAGGAGGGGGGGGCCCGGTTGGGCAGGAGAAGGAAGAAAAGGCAAGGGAGAGGAAGGTGAAACGGGGAAGCGGAGGCGAAGTAGTGAGAATGACGAAAAAGGGACGGAGAGTAGAAAAAAAAGAAGGAACCGGCCAGGCTCGCCACCGCGGGCCGAGAGGCGAGGGAAGAAAACCAAAAGAAACAAAAGCAGTTACTTCGAGACCC